ACTCCACCCACACTGACCTCCTTGCTCCTCCTTGAACATGCTGGGCTTGCTCCCACCTTGGGACATTTGTCATTACTATTCCCTCCCTGCCTTGAGAACTCCTAGTTATCTAACTCCACATGGACACCAACTCTTTGCTTCCTTCAACACTGTTCAAATCCCACCTTCTTATTGAGGTCCCACCCTGACAACACTATTTAGAATTGCAAGCCCCACCTTCAACCTAATACTCCTGATCCCACTTCCCACTTTTTCCCCACAAACTTATCACCTTCTATACTGCAATATAATTAACTTATGTTTATTATTTTTGCTGTCTCCTATTACTAAAATGTAAGCACCCACAAGGACTGAGATTTTACTCACTAAAGTATCCTAAGCCTGCAAAAAGTAGGCACAAATATCAAATTGTTGAATTAATGAACTGTGTGCAAAGGGGTCAAAGATAATGAAAACTGAAAGCAAAAACGTCACTATGGGGAAAAAAAAAGTCACTGTGTTTCTATATCAGCTCTTACCCTGACCATTTCTTCCAATATTTCCTGACTCAGTAATGGTCTTGCCATCTAGATGCTAAGCCAAAAAAAGCCTGGAAACCACTCTAGACTTCTCACTTCCAATTCTCCCACAGCCAATTCATCATCAAAAGCTGTAAAAATTAGGTCTATTATCTCTAGAACATGATTCCTCTATTCCACTCCCATTGCACAGTTCAAACATTTTTCATCTCTAAACGAGACTATGAGGTCCATAACTGAGCTTTTTTGCTTTGATCTAACCAGGACTAGTTAATGGGTTTTAGATAGATATGACAGAGTATGATGGGCAGGAGAAAGCAAAGTGAAGGAGACTAGAATACTTGAAGGCTAGAAAAATGAATTTTAGGGCCGACCCAGTGGCGCACTGCTACAGTGCGCCGCTTGGGAGCACGGTGGCACACCCGTCGAGGGTTCGGATCCCACGTACAGACCGGTTCCCGCTCACTGGCTGAGCGAGGTGCGGCCGCAACGCCAAGGGTTGCGATCCTGTTGCCGGTCCCAGTCCGGTACAGGCGCGACACTGAGGGTTGCGATCCATTGCCGGACACAAAAAAAGACAAAAAGGAAAAAAAAAAAGAAAAATGAATTTTATCTTCTCTTTCTTTCCTCTTATTCATGCGTACTTTCTCATGTACTTCAAGTCCAGCTTAAATATTATCTCCACTTTTGAAGCCTTCCCCAGTTTCTTCAGGCAAAGCCCACACTCTTTTCTGCTTTGTTCATAACTCCATTAGAGCACTTACTGTAGCAATTATTTTATCAGATACTGGTTGCCCCACTGGACAGGAATCTAGTCTTATTCTTTCTAGCACAGGGCCTAGCACCAAAAATACGTGTTGAACAGATGAATCAACACTTCTGCCTAGAATTGGCAGTTATAAAGAAGGAAATCCAAGTTTGAATAAAAATAAGGATTCCAAAGACAGAAGAAATATAAATTCTCTATATAGTTACCAATAAATAGTAAATAAAAATACTAAACCCAAGGGGGGAAAAAAGGTGAAACACAGGATAAGAGTAATAGATAATAGAAATCCTCATGAAAATACTTAATAGAGAAATAGATCATTTAGAATTCACAGAGATATGAAGAGGTAGAAGAAATGCTAACCCAAATTAGTCCATAAAACTAAAACATACTCTCTCAGATAGGTATGTTCGACTAGAAATAAATTAAATGGATTCATAAAATGTCAATGATATGCAGATTACTTTAATTAGGGGGAAAGCATTGTAAAACATATCAACACTACCCTCTAATTCCATCCCCTCAAAAGACACCCAACTATGTAGAATTCAATCATTAGAAAAATGGACTCAAAGAAAGTATCTCAAAAACCAGCAAAATTACATTCACAGAAGGAACAAAGTTATTAAAACTAAAACTCTTAACACAAACCCAAATGAGGTTTTATTTTTTCTTATAAAATTCTACATTTTATAGACCTGTGCACTATTAAAAAGAAATCAAGAGTCCAGAAAAGCAATTTTTAGTAATAAGCAGGTACAATTCTATGCTTCAGGGAAAATGTAAAAATATTCAAAATAATGCCTATCTTGTTTATACTACCACATAAAATAAACAGCTTACTCACTGTAAATGGCTTAGTCACTTATAATTAAGCAGGTTCACAACCAACAAAGGTAACACTAGAGTAATGGGTCTGAAGCTTTTCTGGGTCCCAGATCCCTGAGACCCCAATGAAAGCTATGGTGCTGTCCTACAGAAAAGCACACATATATACAACATATATCTAGCATTTTAAATATGTCACGGCAGTCACAGAGCCCCTGCTGTCTATTTATGCCTTCCTAGAGATCCAAGGAACCACTGAAGAACTGTTAGTTTAATGACCAGAAATAGCAAATACATAAGACTCTACAGAGAAGGAGTTAAACTGTTAACAGCTCTACAGATTTTTTTCTCAATCGCCCAGGAAATTTGAAACACTGAATATAAAAATCCCTACTGGCTGGATTTTATCAAGTGATATACACCCAGACTGAGCTAAAATACAATCAATATGGCCTTAAAATAAACCTAAAACCTAAAGTGCTTAAAAATAAGATATAATACTAATAACAGTATAATAAAATCGCTAATATGTATTGAGCATTCACTATGCACCAAGCATGTTCTGTTTTAAATATAGTCATATTTATATATAAATGTAAATAATTATTATCTTCATTTCACAAATGAGGAAATTAAAGCACAGAAGGGTACAAAGGGAGTCAAGGAACAATGACATGAAAAAGAAATAACTAATGAGGTTAAGAAGCAAAAAATTCCACTACAGTATACCATCTAATAGCAACTTAGACCTACATTTGTATTATCACAGTTCCACAAAGCAAAAATATACTGTCCTAACTTCATAATGAGTGACAGTCTTGATCCTCTTCCATACCCCTGCCAAAACAATCCTTATAGAACCATACTCACTTTGGAATGCCCCATAACCAGAAATGTGAACACAAAATGTTCAAAAGGAACTCAACAATGAAGGATTTAAAAGATGAAAAATGGAAGATTAATTCTGAGGATAACAAATGTTAGCTTTCTAAATCACTGTCTTTTATATAAGTACCATCAATATATCATGCTTTGGGAAAATTAATCACTTAATAAGACGTAAAAAATCTGAAATAGGGCACTTTATTCTACAAAGGAAGTTCCAGTTTCCCTACCTCTGCCTTTTAGCAAGGCTCTCCCCCTCCTCTTTACCATCTTGGTGCTGTCATCTTCCACTCCAGGGACAATGACAAAAGTAGAGAAAATATCACAGGTTTAATGGGTCTTATTAAATCTCATCAATCAAAAAACAAATTTCAGATTCCTTGGATATGCCTATACTACTCCCTAAACAATGTAACATACAAAAAATATTTGTTGAATGGTTGAATCTTCTCCAGCGTAAAATGCATGTGTTGAAGGTATTACTTTAACATTTTCTACCTTCTATAATTTTATACTACAAATTATTATAGCATCAAAATAATGCAGTGAAACAAATTTATCTTAATCAAAAAGTTACAATTTACCATTTTGTTAGATTCTACATCCAAGAAAATAATTTTATACTACAAATTATTATAGCATCAAAATAATGCAGTGAAACAAATTTATCTTAACCAAAAAGTTACAATTTACCATTTTGTTAGATTCTACATCCAAGAAAAAAAAAAGACTCATTTTTTAGATCAGTGTATGCAGCTATTGTTAATCCACGACATCACAAAAAATTTATCAAGACCAAGATGGCCACTAGACCAGACACCTTCCTCAAGAGTGCACTGGCCAAGGAGCCAGTGCTGCTCATGTCTTTCACCACTGGGGACCTAACCACAATTTTGCCCCCACTCAGTCCCTATACCAAGTACGCCATCATGATCAACCAGGCCATGCCCTACAACTACCCAGTGCCTCTCTGAGATAATGGGAACATGCCCAACGTGCCCGGCCACCCCCACGACCCTCAGGGCCCCAGCCTGGAGTGGCGGAAGAAACTGTAGCATCTCTACTGACAGAGAGGGGGCCATCTCCCCTTTAGCCTCCAATTAAACAAGTGAAAATTTTTTAAAAAATTTATCTGAGAATATTCCTTTTTTAAATAATAACAACATAATTTCTTATAGCTTTCTTTGAAACGTTTGATATGATACAACAAAATCATGGATTTTTTCTTTTACATAACCAACAAACTTTTTGAATTAGATATGACGAAATTAATTAGCTCCATTAAACTGAAGTATTCCACTGCTTTAGTAATAATAGTCTAAATCAAGTAAAGGATAAAAATTAAGAAACAATGGAAATAAACATGCATATATGCATATTGAACATATGCCGCAAAAAAGTTCCCTCTGTATTTAATTCACAAACTGAAACACTTGCTCCTGATTTAACTGTTAAAATATCTCATTGCAAACACACACAGTTTAATAACTATACACAGAACTTCTTGGAAGCTGGTATCAATTACATTTAATTTTTATGCAATAAAAATCCCTCTCAGTATACAAAGCATACGAGAGCAAAAGTTCAGACTAAAACATTCCCTAATATTAAGTGGTATTTTTTTAAGTACTACATATACTTGCTGAATATCAATTTACCAAAACAAGCAAGGATGGCTTTATCTTGGCAAAACTTAGAATATTGTTTCTTCAGCATCTTACAAGGCAGCTTGATTCACCACATTCTTCCATACACTTTGTTCTATATCTTCACACCCCAAATGGAAATTAAACTCTTCTCAAGTAATAGCCAAAATTTCATTAATACAAGAAAACACACAGGGCAGAGAAATAGCATGACATGAGTAACAGAGATACACAGAACAAGAGATAGAACAGCCTTCATAATGACCTTGAAAAAGCAAACATGAGTATATGTTGAGACAGAAAATCTATAAGACATGCACAGGAATCACATTAAATAATTCTAGTCCCACTTACCTGATGAACTTTCAGTAAATACTGTTAATGTCTGTCCTCCAACACTTTGCAAGACAAATGGATGTTCTCTAGGAGTGCTGACTGAAGCTGGTTTTCCACCAATATCATGAATATTTGCAAGATCCTCATTCAAAGTAAATGACACCTAATAGACACATTAACCAGAGTTTATTACAATAAACTTTTGTACTCAAAGTACTACTGTACAAAAATTTTGATTATAAATCAAATATTTATTTTAAAATGAGTCTTTTCCAGTCATTTTATTAAACATTTTTTAAACTTTATCAAAAAATCCTCAATACTTAGTCACAAAAAGAGTATCTATTCCCATGTCAAAGTAATGGAGCTAATCTACCAATATAAGGAACGAAAGCTTTCAATTGTTTTCTCTGGTCTGTGGGCTGAAGAACTCTTTCCAAAACAAGAATAAAATTATTTTTTTCCTAAGGTCTCTGAAGTCAGGTGATCATGTCTTGTTACTTTATATCCTTAAGACCTAGCTAAGTGCCTGGTGTTTAGAAGGAGAACAGTATTTGCTGAATGAGTGAATATTTTAGGAATATTAAGAAAGTGATTATACTTGAAAGGGGGGAAAAGTGAGCTATTTACTCTGAAAAGCTTAAACACTCCATAAACAGAGAACATATTTCCTTTTTAGTTCTTAATGACTGTGAGTACATCGTACTGTTTTTCTTTTGAATATTTTAACAAATACACTAAATATTTTCAAGGATAACTCAGTAATAAGGTTTAGAATAAAAAGACAGTACATATTCTTTCAAAATGATTTTTACTGCATACCAGATCTCCCTAAAAGAACATCAATTTTTATATTAAAGGGATTTATAAACATAAAATTACTGATATTCCAAGCACACAGGAAGATCACAAAGTATTTATTAAATATCTCACTACTATGTGATAGGTATTGTAAATTATGAACTGGACTCATTGGGTCAAGATCCAAAACCTTCAAAAATCCAAATCAAATGCCTTTGCCACACTGAAGTAATGCAAAAGTAAGTACTATTAAAGTATTACTGAAGACATACTAGGTTCCATAATACTGAGAAAGGTGATACTTAGGTTAGGTCAAAGAAAAATGCTGAAAATGAACAACTAGAAAAAAGTCCATTCATTCAAGCAAGGGTGGCACTTATATCTTTATGTGTTCCTGACCATCAGCCATTCATTTGATGCAGAGTTCCCAGAATGCAAACAACACCCTCTCTTTCTTTATTATTACTAATGAAGAGAAAATAATCTCATGTTTTAAATAAAACTTTCATATAAATAATCTCACCTCTGTCCTTCCTTGATTCCTAAAAGAGAGGAAAGAAAATATTTCAAATTATTTTGGTTTCATGTTGTTTTCAAATGAGAGCTAAGAGCAAAATAATGTTACTTCATATTTACATAAAATACTACATTTACAGAGATAACTAGTATTTACCCTTGGCTCCTGCCTAACTATCCTATTTGTAATCCTGTAGGGGAAAAAAAGTCCCATTAATCCCACATGATTATTTCAGATATTATGAGTCTGTGACATTTAACACTATTATCACCTGCCCTAATTATATATTGTCAAAATAATTACCTTATTACAATTCTTATCCTCATTTCTAAACATTTTTACCATTCAGCAGCATGAGAATGCATTTTTAAAACCAGATCTATACAGTACTTCAACAAATTTTATTATTTATTTTTTCTAGGTGAAGAGGTTTCATTTACCTAGCAAAATCTTAAAAATCAAAAGTTACTAAACTTTTTAAAAGTCTAAGCAAATTTTCTCAATTATAAAAACAATATATGTCCATTATATAAATATTTTTAATACAGGCAAGCCAAAAAAAAAAGTTTTAAAATAGCCATAATTCCACTGTTAACACCTTGGTACCATTAAATATCCTTCCATACAATAAATATGGAATTAATGTATACTCTTTATAACAGCCTAATTTTTTAAAAAATGTATTAAATACCTACTATATGCAAAGTACTAAGTGTAGGGTCCCTGTCCGCAAGCAGAAGACATAAACAGTACATCCATAACTATAAAATGAGATAAATTTCAATGTTCATTTAACAGAGCCACAATATGCCAGGATCAGATAGGAGGACACCATTTCTTTCATTTTAAGAGTTATGGGCAAAAAAAAAAAAGGGGGGGGGGGCCTCGCTAGTTCCCTGAGCCCTTTTAGAGTGTACTAATCCTATTCATGAGGGCAGAGCTATTATGACTTAATCACCTCCTAAAGGCCCCACCTCTTAATACTATCATGTTAGGTCTGAGGTTCCAACATATGAATTTTAAAAAAAAAAAGGGGGGGGGGGGGGGGCAGCTCAACAAAGAAGCAGCTTGAGTTGAGCCTTGAACCGTACTAGGATTGCAACAGGCTGAGATGAGCAAAGTCACAAATGACTGATCAAATTTGGCTGAAAGGAAAAGGAAAAATAAGGAATAGTATGAGATGAAGTATAAAGGAGAACTAGGGTTAAACCACAGAAGATCTTGAATATCACAGTACAAAGTATGTATGGACTTTATTCTTTAGGCAACAGAGATAGATACACAGGTATTGTCTGAACAAAAGAATAACAAGTACAAAGATATGCTCCAGGAAACTTGCACCATAAAATATATATAGTATGGACAAAAGTTGATTAAAGATATTGTATTAGTCTGTTTTGTATTGCTATAACAGAACTACCTCAGACTGGGTAATTTATAAAAAACAGAGGTTTATTTGGCTTACTATTCTGAGACAGCTGCATCTGGCATGGGCCTCAGGCTGCTTCTACTCATGGTGGAAAGCTGCGTGGCAGGTAGCCGGCGGGTACAAGCAGATCACATGGCAAGAGGAAGCAAGAGAGAGAGGGGAGGTGCCAGGGTCTTTTAAGCAATCAGCTCTCACAGGAACTAAGAGTGAGATCTCATTCAGGATCCCCACCCCCCAGAGAGAGCATCAATGCATTCATGAAGGATCCGCCCCCATGACTCAAACAGCTTCCAGCACTGCCACCCTGTGGACCAGATTTCCACATGAGTTTTGGTGGGGACAACACATCCAAACTCTATCAGATTTGAAGACCAGTTAGAAAACTGTTTTCCATAACACCCAGCTTAGTTCCAATCTGCCTCCATTCAGTCGTTCAATCACTTATTCTGTCGTTCAATCACTCATTCTGTCATTAAGAGTTTACTATACACCTGCTACACATTATGCTGCATGGTATAAGATGGGTATCGGTCCTTGTCCTCAAGGAGGTTGCCCAGTTTAATGAAAATAGGTCCAATCCATGAACAATTATGAACGAGGTAGTTTATATCTTGTCATAATGACAGTGAATGGCAATCTGGAGTTGAGTGATAAAGAGTCTCTTAGGCCAGACTAAAATTCTTTAACAAACTTCTTTAGTAGGACTTCTCAGACTTTTATATATTAAAATGCAATGTCGGGCCCGCCCGTTGGCGCACTGGAGAGTGCGCCGCTTGGGAGTGCAGCGGCGCTCCCGCCGAGGGTTTGGATCCCATGTGGAGACCGGTTCCCGCTCACTGGCTGAGCACGGTGCGGGCACAACACCAAGGGTTGTGATTCTGTTGCCGGTCCCCGGTACGGGCGCGACACCGAGGGTTGCAATCCCGTTACCAGTCAAAAAAAAAAAAAAAAAAAAAAAACAATGTCAATCTCCTTTTTATTGAGGAAGTCCCTAGAACAAAAGTGAAACAATTTTAAGATTTCACATTAAAAATATGAATTTCTAGCTTCTCTAACAAGACTGGAAGATTTGACAACAATTGGCCCCCAATTCAGCATGACAACAATCTCCTTGACATGCACTGGGGCAGGCAATGAATTCACCACAGTCCCTTCCCTATCACTCCCAAATTTAGCTCCCAGAGGCATTTAATTTAGCTAGCTTAGGTGTGGTAGACAAAGCAAAAGCAAAGAGGCAGAAGACACTCCCATAATACTTACTGAATTGAACTGAGGCTAATGCAAAAATCTACATAAAAAGTAATAAAGGCTTGAACCAGGTAGTGGTAGAATGCAAGGAGGAGGTGCGTGGGAGGGTCACTGAACTGTTAGAACTGATAGAAGAGGAAATGACTAGAAGTGGACAGCAAAGGAAAAGGGATGAATTACAGATCATGTTGACATTTCCAGTCTGTGTAACTAGACAATCACCCAGAAGCAATTAGGAAACACAGGAGGGTAGGATAACTTCATTTTCGTGTGCGCGTGTGTGTTAGGAAACACAGGAGGGTAGGATAACTTCATTTTCGTGCGCGTGCGCGCGCGCGTGTGTGTGTGTGTATAAAAAACAGCATCTTAGCTGGAATAAGAAATTGATGAGCTCTGAATGAGTTAATTTTCTAGAAAAAAAAGTTAATCCTTGAAGACTTAAAACTTTTTTTAGAAGATGACATGTTCCCTTGTTTTAGTGTGTGAATGTATGAAATACACATGACCTTTTGCTGTTCTACATTACAACTACAATAAACCCATTGCATGATGACCTGTGTTCAAAATGATAAACATCAACTATTGTATAACACAATAATATCTTTGGAAATTAATGAAGTAAACATCTGGCCCATCCTTTCACAGAATTTCTCATAATGCTGTTCGTTTTCTCCTTCACTACTCCATTTCTCAACACCCCGCAGCTACTTCTTTAGATCCCAGTTTTATTCTTTTTGCCTTTTTTTAATCAATCATTTGTCCTTCCTTTTTCTTACACTGTTTAAATACTTCTTAGATTTGACACCAATAGGGCCTGACTTTTCATTATCACTGATAATCAACAAAGCACCACGTTTTCCCAGTTAAGAAAATGAACCAAATCACTTCAAGTCTCCAATTGTACTCAAGGGTTTTCTGTTGTTTTCATTTTGTTTTTAATTCCTATTCACACTTCTCCCTTCCTGAACTAGTCACCTCAAAAACTATCAGGTGAGGCCAAGCAAAGTAGCTATCTGAAGAGTGGGCTGGGTAAGATGGTCACAGTCCGAGTAGTATGAAGAGGATGTTCCTGGGGTGCAGAGGGCAGCTGGGGGCAAGGAACTAGAGCCCAGTTAGGGAAGGAGAGCACCACCATAAAGGAGCGGCTCAGCAAGAAGTGTGTCAGAGCCTAGTGGTGAGGGCATCCACATAGGAGGACAACCTGAAGCAGGGTGCTGGACTCCTAGTGGCATAAGGAGGGATCTCTATGGAAGAGAGAGGAAGCCTCACAGCAGGGAACGGAAGCCTGAACAGGGTGGGAAGGGTATCCCTGTGGATGACAGCAAAGGTGGCATCCCAATGAGGGGACCTAGAGCCCAAGTAGGGTGAGGAGGGCACTTTTATACACAGGGTGGGGTGAAGAGGCACTGAACAAATAAGCAAATATATTAAGGATAATAGGTTTCTCACTTTCAGAAAAGAGATACAAATACGAATACAAACTGGAATATATTCTGTGGTGTTGGATTGGAACTGGATATTGGTGTAAATTCATGATTTTCAACATATGTAGATACAGAAAATACAGATGTAAAGGGTTGTGTGTGTGTATATTCCCTAGTTCTGCTAACTGAGAGGGCCTGGGAGCTGCATCCAGATCTTACGGGGTATCTGGACCTTAGTTCTAAATACCATTCAGGATGGATCCTCTAAAGGGAACCAGGGTTCCTTTGAGAAATGGCTGACTTCAGGACTCATGCAGAAATGTACAAGAGGAGTCTAAAACATCGCTGTATGTCAAAAAGAAGGGCTCAAAGAATGATGAGGATATGTCAAAAGGACTTATACTACTGAACTGTATGCTTAAAAAATGGTTAAGATGGTAAATTTTACGTATTTTTTATTAAAATACGTAAAAATATTATGAATTTTTTTTTAAAAGGACATAGAAGCCAGCTAGAAGGATCTCCTACTGGCTAAATTTTGGACAACTTGAACATCAGAATAAATGATAAGGTAACAAATTGTGACCCACTGATTAAAACCAGAGTCCATGAGTTCATACTAAAACAAATTAACTAATTGAAATTTTGATGAGAAATACTTATATAGTCTCAAAATACCACCCCATAGAATACTTAACAATTACAAAGGAGAAAAGAGCAAATTTACTTGAAGAAGTTTAGAAGACAACCCTTAATCAAGTAATCAAGTTAACCACCAGCCCAATGGGACAAACTGCAAACACACAAACCTTGCTAGAATACATTAAGAATCCACCTTCACCTTTGTTATATTCCTGCCAAAGATGCATAACCCAAATCTAATCATGAAGGAAGATCAGACAAACCCAAATTTTATAAAATAAT